GCACCATTCTGATGTATGTTTGTGTAATTGCCACCTGATGACGCACAAGAAAAACTTCATGCCAGCGGTCACACTGTACTGGCCAAATTTCTCGTGTTCCATGTTAATCAGTGGTGTCATACCTCAATGGCAGACCAGTCTAAACTGCTTAAACACTCGCATCTAATTTACTTGAATTGTTTTATGTTAGTTACATTAAAGTTATACATGTTACACTGTTGACCTTTTGTGGCGATTTTCTTCTTGATTATTATAATAAGGCAACTATACTCTGATGATAATACTGAAAGTGCTTAATCTCCCAAGTTAGTAAGCATTTGTAAAGGGCTCACAACCTCAAGAATAATGTTTCACCACAAGTTTTGTGCTTTCAGTTCATGCTCAACTGGTAATTCAGGCTTTGGTATAGTCGGTTACAAGAAGGTAGGAGAAGCTCCTTCCACAAGCATGATGCGCCCGTTTCAAATCTTTCCGCAGTCGTAAGAAGAGTTCACTGGAAACGCTCCTTGTTCCGCTTCAATGGATTCCAACTTGTCTCCGACCCCACTTTTTAGGAAAGCGACCTTTGTATTCATTGGAGGGGGAACCGAGCCCCTAAAAGCAGCCTTTGTATCCATCAGAGGGGGAAGCTAATCCCCGAAAATCGTGTTTGTTTTCATCAGAGGGGGAAAACTCTAATCTCCCCTTGTGGTTTCCACAATGCTTAGTCAAAGTCGAAAGATAAAGTAAATATGTAAAAAAGGCAATGCCCTCCTCGCACGCTTGCCGCGACGTGACCGAACTGATGGGACGCTATTGAATACGGAGGTGGCGGAGGGATATACGATTCCCTTTGAGGGGCATTTGCTGCTACCTTTTTAACCTGTAATCGACTATGGACTATTCTGTTAAATCAGAGCTTCTGCAGATGAATTTATTAGGCCCGCTTCAGACGAAGCAATTTTACCCAGCAACTTGACGTCGCAACACCAGCAACATGGGCTGTCCGCGTTCACATGCAGCAACCGAATCACTACTACTTGCTATCACCATTCACTTTGAATTTTCTTGCACTATTTAGACGCCCAGCTACGCGCTAAAAACATGTTTTTATATCTTCGAATGGCGTTGAGAATACTAACTCATCTTTCTGAAAGGGTTTATTTCCAAAAACAATTAATTTCAAACCAGAACCAAGTCTTTAGCCGTCATCATCACCACCACAGGGGTGTCACATGATAATATTGCGTCCCTGATTGGCTGCTGCCGCTTCAAACGGTTCCGAGTTGCTCGTCCGTTTCGAGCCGGACCCGATCTCAGCAATTCGTGACGATCTAGGGAAAGCTAGAGAACAACCCGCCAGCAACCTCAAAATTGCTGGAAAAGTTGCCCTGTCTGAAGCGGGCCTTAGAAGCAGCTGTTTGTGAGAAAACCCTCTATCTTCTTTTTTTCTGCCCTTTCCATTTCTGGATGTTTTCAGTTTGCTTAGTTCAGCCTCAAGTTGACATCACAATGAATCATACTGTTTTCACTGCAAAAATAAACAATGTCGATCAGGGAGGTGAGATTCCACTGAGTGTTGGATCAATAGGCCAAGTCTCCAGATTCCAACATTATGAAGGTATAATGATTAGTGGCTCTCAAAAGTATTAAATGAGGAACGTCAACTGTTATTGGCAGCCGACCCTGTTCCTCTAACAGGATGCCCATTTACTACTGAAATTTTATAGAATGGGCTTTGCACACAGTTTAGGCAACATTACAGGCTGAAATTTTCTTGAGTGATCCTGACACAGAGCACTACACCTCAGCCAAGCCCAAGTTTCATGTACAATTCATTAATGAAAAAAAAAAATAAGAAAATGGGTCTCACTTCTTTTGAAAACCTGTATATTATTGATATTGTAATCACCCCTTTATCCAAAATCCCACTGTCAAAAGAGGCACTATAAAAATAAATCAAGTACAAAACTACCAATAACTACACAGAGAGGAAGCACAAAGGTAAAATAAACAGATGGAAGGAACACGAAAAGAGAAGAAGCGAGGTTGCTTAATGCATTCCAAAACTCTGCGAAGACATCTTTCGAATTATTATGTAGATAATTTCTAGACAAAACAAACATGTCTAGCAGAAACAAAGTAATTCCAAGCCTCCAACTACCGACATAAAGAGTCCTGCTAAATGAGAACTGAAGCAATGTTCAAGGAGGCCCCCCGTGTTCTAATCTATATGACAACTACCAGAGCGACAACTCTCAAGTAGAGTCCTTGTACCTTTGTCACAGCAATGTCAACAAAACAGTGAAGAGCCTTTGAACCCTTCAGGGATGTGGGCAATGATCACATCCGTCCATGAACCTCAATAAATCCTACTCTTTCTTTTTTTTTTTTTCCTCCACTGACCCAGGTAACCCTTTATTACGTCCCAACTAACCCGAGGCAATGGTCATAAATGTGGCACGTGCCCTCCAAGATCCCGCTTGCTAGAAAAACAACAACCACACACAAGCGCACTGTCCAGCGGTCATATAACCTGTCCCCCGTTCCGCGTCTTGAACTGGATGGCATACTTGCTCACTCGTTCATTGGCTCCGAGATAAGACAAGCTCTCTAATTGCAGACGAGAGACAACAGACTGACAGCCCAAAAAGTCGGGCAAAAAAGAAGTGTGAGATCAGAAGGGGCCCTTTCGTTTGATAGGAACTTTACACCGAACAATGCGAAGCGACTCTAGCTGCAATCTTTGCTGGTGAGATACTAGAGAAGGGTGTCATGGGGACTGCCACTTCTGGGCTGGCGGGTTCGAAACAAAGTCAGTCGGTCTTATATAATATGGTCCTAAAACGTAAGAGCTGGGAGGGTACAAGCATATGAGATGAACAATATTCACGCGTTACACCACTCAGGAGCTAGTCTTCAGAGAGATAGCTTTCAGGCTATCTTAATTAGGACGCAACTCCTTGCGCAAGCCAGCCATGTATTCTCTCCCTTCCTCCAGGTTATTTGAGCTAAATTTGTGAAGGATGCAATTCAATATTATCACCTAAAACCATCAATGAGAAATAGAATGATAGAGTCGAATTATGAGATGTGGCTTGATATAAGTTTGGTTTTATGCGTAAGGCACCAAACACATTCTATAAAGTATTACTGGCCAGGACAATCAATAACGAATATAATGAGTCAGCTAAACTTCAGATTTGTGGCTTGAAATAAATTTGGGTTCACATATGAAGTATCTAAACATACTAAAGAAACGTCCCACACCAGGCACTGTGATACAGCACCTGGTGTGTAAGTTTTTTCTACTTGCCTTTGTCTCTTTTTATGCTGTTCTCATCTTGCCACACCTTACCAACTCACCCCAAATGAACACTCTTCTACCATAAAAAAATTTCTTTGCACCTAGTCTTCAGGATTTTTTAATGGTGTATGCAGTGATAAGAGAATGCATTCACATTACAGCAAAGTACTCTACAGCATGCAAACTAACGCTTTTAAGGCACTTAAGACGGCCCACAAAAATTGGTGTCTCAACTTATTGAGCTGCAATTTACCGCAGCGTAAAAATCAAGGAATGAACCTACCTCGTTCAAAAGAAAAGAAACCTGTTCTGGGCAACCTATGCCGTCACTTCGCAGGTGATGCACAGATATTGAGAAGTGATGCCGACAGATGGCGCAAGCTGCATTGAAGGACCACCGGTTAATTAGGCTTCTTTTGCCGGATTGCCTGCTATCATAACCTAAATCAGCCGGTGCTGTCATCTGTCGGCAGCACTTCCCACTATGTGCACATCCCCTGCGAAGTGGCGGCATAGACTGCCCACAACAGATTCCTGTATTTTTTTTTTCTTCTGAGCGGGGCAAGTTCATCCCTTGATTTTTTTTCGCTGTTAACTTCCATCAACTGCTTGCACCTCTGTAGCAAAACGCAGTGCGATACGTTGAGGAACTGAGTTTACATGCTGTTGTCGCAAGATGTTGGGTTACATTTCGGCATTCTCTCGAGATTCCATCATCAAGTGCCGCATTCTGACATGGACACGAGCTCACCGCAAACAAAGACATGAATTACTGCTGCACATGTGTGACTACACGCACCACCAAATCATCTCCGCATTTTGCTTCCCTTTTCCGACAAATACTCTGCATTAACCTGCAGTAGAGGGGCGTCCGGATAGCACGACTTGACGCAATTCAATGGAACTTGCGTAACTATTAAATAAATATCCCGCGTATACCTTCGTATATCCTAGCGACAACTTCCTCATTGCACAACAACAAAAAGAGAAAACGACGCCCTATTTCTAGCTTTTGAACCTCGGCCAGAGCTCGGCTTTAAAGACGAAAAAAGAATGCCTCGGTCGTGCCAAAGCGAAGTGGAACGGCGGCAACTAGAAAGGTGAAACAAAATCAAACAGATGCAAGTTTGTGCACGCACTTTCCAGCCTGAGAAACGCCCAAAGAAAGCAACCAAACAAAGACAGAAATCCAACATGGGCCAACATTACCGGCGTATGGAATTACCTCAGACGGAGTCCACAAACAGTCCGCTTTTTGAACGGCAAAAGATCGACGGGACGAGAGAGTCTTCGGCACGACAGAGTCGTCGGCAAAGCGAGCGACGTGTGTAATAAAATGCGGCGAGCCAACACGAAAGAACGGAGCCGCACCCAGAAATGATCGAAAAAGCAGGCATGCGAGCGTCATGTTACAACTGCACCTACGCCAGAGATCAAGATCCCCGAATGGAAAATCTTAGCACGGGTACGGGTTGGCGCACTCTGAGGAATTTCAAAGAAACGCGCCGCGACGCGCGTCGGTCGTGGTGGGTGCGTCGCGATGACCACGCTTTATTTTGGATGGCAGTCTGACCTCGAAACCTCAGGGATTCTCTTATTCACGCTTAAACAGACAACTAACTGAACACCGCTACGCCCCACTGACAGAATTTACCAGCAGAGTCGTAGTGGTCGTAGCGCACGCGAGATTGATGTTGGTAGCGTAAGAACTTACCGTTCAAGTCAGTGCGATTCACGTAGGCCGGAGGCAGACACTCATAGCGCGGCACTTCGATTGGTGATAATATGTAGCAGAAGGAAATATAAGTATTCACGACGAATGCTGAAGAGCTGGGAGCCTTTCTCGGATCAAACTAGGAGCTTCGCTCGCGCGTGATCACATGGCACGAAATCAACGGCGGCGCGCGGCGTGCTGATCTGAAAGTGCTACTGGTGCTGAGAGTAGGTGGGTAGGTGCGGGCCTGTGCGGGTGGGTCGCTGGGATGGAGATTATTTTGGTATTCTTTTCGTCTAGGGGGCGCCACATGAAAAACCTCACATTTCTAATCAAGATGGCGGCGGACGATGCGGCTGCGAGTCTTCAAAATTACCAAATTCAACTTCAACAGGTAAAGATTGCGTCCTGCGCTGCCTTAATGACGTCGCGTGAGGCGTCGGTAGGGTAATTTCCTAAATGTAGCTGGGAGCTTTGATATTAGCTATTTTACGAGGGAAACGCCGTCTGTTTGTTCTCTTTGGAACGCTAGCACTACCATGGTGGAAAACAACAAAAGCAATCGGAGCTCATAGTTGCCGTAAATCGTAGCCGATTTCGGCTCACACTGACAGTTTCGGTACACTGTGTGATTATTAAATATTTCATTGCCATATGGGGCTTCGGGAAAGGGTTTTGCGGTCGGTAGCGTGACGACCGATGTCTTCAACGTAGCCTAAACCCCGTTCGTTCCTGGGGCTCAACTTGAAACGTTTGTTTATTCTTTTTCAAGGTTGAAGCCGCTCTCACAAATGATCCGGACGATAAAGACCTGCTCAAGCTAAAAGAGGATCTTTTGGTAAGTCAACACATTCTGATTGAAACCTCACTGCGCTCGGGGCGTTCCTAACTTGTTCGTGCATGTCCCTTCGTTTTCCCCTAGGAAGTGATCAGCTTGACGCTCAACTTGATTAGCAGCAGCGGTGCGGACACAGCTTCATCATCACCTCCGGGTAAATCGGATTATGCAGGGAGTCAGAAGCACGCTGCCGCCGAGTCGTCGTCGACGCAGGACGCCGACAACGTTGGCTGGTTTCCTGGCGACAAGTGTCTCGCGCTATGGAAAGACGGACAGTAAGTTCTCGGATGCTTGAGTCAGTCGATTGGATGGCTGAGAGGGAAGTTATTCGAAGAGTAAGTCGTCTGCTTGTTGCTTAGGAGTAGCGTTGACGTCAGAACAATGTCGAGCTGTAGTTGGCTTTGATTGAAAGGTTAGTGGGTAGATCTCGATGCTAAATGCCTTGAGGTCTACTCACTATTTTATTTTTTATTTTTCAATCGGCTAATAAGAGATCGGCGTTTTGACATCATCCCAACCCCTGTGCAAGAAGCAGACGAGCTTTTGCTCTGCATAGAATGCGTTCAGGGATGATGTTTCTTCAGTTGTATTTCTGTGTGACTGTCTAGCAGACGATCGTGCGTGCGACCCCTTTCTATCTGCCTTGCTTTGCGAGTCACCCAGAATACTTCAATTTTCATGAATGAAGATTATTCTTATTGATATATATCTCCTGTAGGCGCGTTGAGAGTCGAGCTGTGACTGCATATGTAGGAGACGAAGATGTAAAACTGACCAGAGCAAGTCAAACTGGTGATGCTCCTACATGCATCTCGGTCGTGATACCACCCTTGCTACAAGCAAAGCATGTTTGATTATGGTGCTTTCAGCTACCAGCTTCAGCAAATGGCTTAGAAGTTTCACTTCCATTCTTAGCACATTTTGTTTCGCTAGCCAGGTCTGATTCATTCGACTTATGAAGGTGTGGCGCCCCCTTGAGCACGAATGGGGTGCCATCTTATGGTGAATTCCGCTCGCAGATCTTGAGCGCTCCATTTGGAGCGCGCATATTCCGCTCGCAGATCTGGCTCAAGTTGGTCATCTTCCGCTCGTAGATCTCTGGCAGCGTCCGCTCCACGGAGCGCCCCAAACTCCGCCGAACTTGCTCTGCGGGGTTTCACAGATCTCTCCGGAAGTTGACAGAGCGGCCCACGTGATTTCCGTCTAAATCGGCGGTGCGCATGCGCGGCGAGGTTGGAGAGATCGGCGGGCCGGTCGGGTCGTGGAGTTGGATCTGTTCGGGTACGTCGGTTGTTTACTCTGGATTGTGACGGCTCGAACGCTTCTACTTCGCGTAGATCAGGGATAAAAAGCCGGGAATGTTTAGCGTGGCAAATCGTAAGCGCTGACTCTGTGATCGCGAGAGGAAGACCGAGAAAAGGAACGACAGAAAAGCCGGAGGCAGACGCAAGGTTAGGCCTATTCATTCTGCAGCCAGTGATTGTTTACCTTTTTGCACTGCATTCCGTCGGCGTTTTCCCGTGAAATAAAGCAAGACGTGGTCAGGCAACGACCGCGCAAGTGATGGTTTGTTACCTCTGTGTTTATTAAAGTCGTACTACGAATCCGAACTCCACCGCTGGCAATCGCTGTCCGTGCCCCGCCGCTTCGAGGCGGCCGAAAGGTATGTGACGGTGCCGAACGCGGACGTCTTCGTTATTTGTGACATGGGTGCCGTGGTACGTATAATTTCGCCCGGTCTGTGTCGCGTGTTACTTCTGCAGCTAAGCAGTGACAGTCGTCACTGGTCGTTGGTAAGATTAGCCGGCTGAGGCGTTGGTGGGACTGGTCAAGTTCGAGCAGCGGCCATTTTGTACGGCGGAGGGAGAAGGGTTGGGAAGGGGTGTGAGGGAGGTCGCTCCAAAAATGCAAGTTTATCTTCCCCTCGTCGATTCGGAGCGGGTCCCACGGAGCGGAATTTTGCCTCCCTCGCGGATTTTGGAAAGCGCTCCAGATCTACGAGTGGAATTCACCATTAGCAAAATAGTCCTAAACACCCAAAGAAGTGTTTTCTTTCACCTAGTGCAGGGGCCTCCAAACTTTATGGCTAAGGAGCCGGATTAGGGATTTTTTGCGGTCTCGAGGGCCAGAAAAACGGAGTAACAAAAAACCAAAATTTTTTAAATAAATGAACCTAAATAAGCATTTAAACACAAACGAGGGCAGAAAAACGGAGTAACAAAAAACGAAAATTTTTTAAATAAATGAACCTAAATAAGCATTTAAACACAAAAGTGACTGTTAGAGTAAGTGTTAAACAGCCCTAAGGTGGGTGAATATATATACTTCTGTTTTAAAAGTAATGTTTAGCTAATTATGACATTGCATTACAATTGTGACCAAGGAAAACTCGCCAGGCCTAAATCAAAGCGCATGGGAACTTTGGCACATTTGCAGAGTGCAAAAGTCTTACGAAAATAATAAAAATAGTGCTGACAATATGCAATAGTTTTGGCAAAGGACACTAAGCACAGTGTACACAAGAATGCAAGGGAATTTTATCATAGTTAAACAGACCAGAAGCAGGTGACTAAGAATGTTGGCTGGTGATGACAGTGTTCATTGAAAAATAGGATCAGAAGACCCGTGTTACGATGTAGTTTCTCTCATTCTTTCTGGTATCTTCGTTCGCACATTTGAAGTGCGTCGCTTCATAGTTCCTTTACGCGCACTTTTTGCCCCGGCAGCAGTGGGTCTGCTGGAAGCGGGCCACGGGGCGGGCTTCATTAGAAGGATTGGGCGCGGGGAGGATTTGGCTTGTGGACCTGGGTTCGGAGACACCTGATATAGTGCAAAGCATGAGTCTGCAGAATGAATAATTATGACCACCATATGCATCTGGAAATAAAGCAATGCTTTTCGTGGCATTGTCTACAGGTACTACGATGCCACGATCGAGGACATCATCGGAGAGGGCCAGGCAACAGTCACATTTACCGCTTATGGCAACACCATCGTCAGTAAGGTGAGTACTGCTACAGGGTCTCAAGCCGCTTTTGTTTGAGTACTGTGTGGTCGCTCGAAGACTAGTGTGACCACCATGCTGAATGACTGGGATGTTGTCGATTTTAAAACAGCGCTGCTGCGAGAGATGAATAGGTTCCTGTCCCCGGCGGCGCCTTAGCGAGAAGACTGAAGGAAAAACAGTGTCGGTATCAGAGTTCCTTTCCCCAGTTGTGGACATTGTGACTTCTGCTTTCTCTCTTGGTCTCTTGATTCTTGCAGTCGGATACGGCAAAAATGTGGGCCAGAAGGGCTTTAAAATGGTAGGGGCTCAGTGGGGCACTTGGTAAGGAAGACCTTTTGACCTATTAACGAGTGCCCACTAAACCTTGAGCAAATGTAATGCCAGGCTTCTTTTCTTTTTTTTCTTTCTTCCGAAACATGAAAGTTTAGGTTTTTCTTTTGCACACAGGCCTAATAAATTTGCTTCCAAGCCATTGCTTCTACAGAATACTGTAGTTCCAATTGGGCAACTAGTAGACCAGAAAGGGGAAATACTTGGGGACAAAAATAGGCATGTTTAGTGCTTCTATTCTCTTGTCTAGTTATATGTTAACAAACTTGCTCCACTTGCTCTTACCAGTCTTGGGGTATTTTCATTCTTTCGACACCTCAGTCCCAGGCGTCGGCTGTAGCCTGCATTAACATACTTGTTAGTAGTGTCCTTCCGAGGAGGGGACTCTAAGATATCTGCACTTCCACAGTTATCCCAGCTGAAGGCTCACAGCAACAAGCGTTCCATGAACAATGTCATTGAAGGTGGACCAAAAACCAAGTAAGCTGCAGTTGCCCATTATGAACAATAGGCTAGTAAAGGCAGGAAATAAAGACACTGACCTAAACGGCGACGTGCCCTTCCAGAAAGCAGCTCCTCCTAGCCGAGAGAGAGTACAAGAAGAAAAAAGCCCAGAAGAAAGCGGTGCGTCAAAAGCAGATGGAAGAGGAGCGCGAGAAGGAAAAGAACAAGTGGCAAGAGTTCAACACAAAGGTAAGTTTCTGTTGGTCTGCTTTGCACGGGGCAGTTGAGGTGTGACGGGCAATAATGGTACAAGTTGATTTGTATCATTTCTTATATTTCTGCTTCCATAGGTGCAGATTGTAGTTGCACCACTTTATTTTCGCTGATGTAAGAAGCTAAGATATTAACCTTCATCAGCACAGTAGAAAAAATAGGAACTCTTTCTGGCAGCTGCACAACTGAACAGCTACTGCACGTAGCACCTCGATCGTTTAAGCCATATAAATGACGTAGGAAAGAGTAATGCCAGACTTCGCGATGAAGCCTTTTGAATAAACGTCCTACATGTGGCAAGCAAAATGTAGAAAACTCTGTTGACAGAGCCAAACTATCCCAAGCAAACTGATATCCTGCCTTTTGGTGTTTAAGGTACTATGATCTCTTGGTGTCCTAGTGTGTGTTGCATAAGGTTTGCAGATGAGCACTCTATTCTCCTCTTCTAGCACTTTCCTGTCCCAGGCACTTACTTGAACATTCTTTTGGTCTTGCACCATGCAGGCCTTCAATAAGAACAAGAAGGGCCAAGTGAAGAAGAGCATCTTTGCGTCACCAGACAATGTCAACGGGCGCGTCGGAGTGGGCACGTGCGGCATTGGGGGCCGTCCCATGACCGAGTTCCATCACCAGGAGAAGTGGCGCAAGCAGCAGCAGGCGGGAGCGGCCGGAGCGCAGGGAGCCATGGGACCGCCACCGGGCATGTTGGGCATGATGCCGCCAAACTTCGCAGCCATGGGGTTCCCCATGGGTTTTCCTCCCCCACCCCCTCCGCCACCACCCTCCATCTTCTGAGCAGCGTTCTGCGTCAAAGTCGTGGTACAGACACTGTTACGCAGCCTCGCAGCTGCAGCAAGCAAGTGCCAGCTCGGTGTCGTGCATACGCAACAAACACTCATCGATGCCATTGTTGTTCTGGTGGCGAACGAGTAAAACCAAACTCTGACGTTCCAGGACGCGAGATGTTTGCAATGTTCCTCCTTCGTTTTTGACAGTCCGGTGGAGAAACAAGTTTGACAAACTTTTGAAAAGGCTTTAAGTATAAACCGCGTGTAAGCGATTTGGCGAGTGACGAGACAAGCGACGGCGACCCACTTCGCTCTCGCACGACGAGGCAAACCGCTTGAAAGTGGCGAGAGCAAGCTATTGAGGCGACGTTTTCTAGAAATCCAAAAAACCGAGCGACGCTACAAGTGACAGTGAGAAATCTTCGTTGCTGACTCTCGTTGCTGTCACTCGCTGAATCGCTTACATGCAGTTTTAAGCCCTTAGTCTTTGTGTGACAACATTTGTGGTTGGGCAAGTTTGACATTGCCAAAGGCAGTGTGTTACTAGAGATTGGGGTGCAGGCTTGGAAGGAGTGGAAAAACAGGTATGACAATAACTTTCAAAAACTTCGACCCTTATCTGGTTTCATCTACAATCAAGTCAGATGGCTCAATCAAAACTGAACTAATAAATCCTAATGTTGTTTGAAACTTTACTGAAATGTGATTCCATATGGCTGTCCGCTATTTTTGAAAAAATGCTTTATGAAGCCTCTGCTTTCGGATGGAAAAGTGTGTTGAAACACTATCAGGCTGGTATTGCAAATTTCAGAACTGACTGAGTGAAACTGACGATTGGGCTGAGGCTGGAACAGTAGTTACGTCAACAAGAGGAGCCTTGTTTTGGGCGAACAGCCTGACAGCAAGTAGTGTTGATCATAGTCTTTTTTTTTTTTTTCCCCTCTGTTGTGTTGGAGGTGTTTTCAGGGTGGAGGGAAGTTACCGCCAGCCTCCCTAGAGCATGCAGTTTGAGTGTTTGAGAAAGTTGATTGAATTTTGTTGAGCTATCATTCACCTTGCTTGTGCTAAGACTTCTGTACAGTTATATTCATTTGTGAAATAAATAAACAACATTGTAAACCTTAGCAATCTGTTTCATAGTATGAAACGTTATTCTGGTACATACATGCTGAATATACTGCTGCATTTAGAGCAAACCTTGGTATGTTGAGAGAGAAGAGCTATGCTAATAATAATAATTTTTATTTTGTGCAATTCAAATGTTTAGAAAAGGTGTACTTCAGTTGAAGTAAATTCTCCGAGTATGTTTTTGTACTTTACTGAAGGTGTATTTTTCTTGTTACTCTCTGAAGAAAGTACAACTTGCGGCTTCAAACTAGATTCACCAAATTTGGTCTTGTTAAATTTCTATCACAAAATGATGCTTTGCCAACTCTGAAGAAATACTGGGAGTGACGTTCTACTTTCACCACAAACGCAAACAGACGACGCATCGCTCCGTTTGTGCCGGGGGCGGCTTTCCCGCAGCATTTCAAACTCGCTAATTCTAGCTCGGTAAGCGCAAGCGGCAGGGTTAAAAAAAATTAGCACGATGCTCCTCCGAGAGAGGATTGCTTGCGGAAGCTACGGCGCTAACGTCATGCTCTATCCTAGTACGTACAACCACCTTAGTTGCAAGCCAGTGCAAGTGGTATCAAATTCAAAAGTGAGAGTGAGAATACGTTTATTTCAGAAAGGGGACACCGGATACCTTGACGAAAGTCATCTTATCCCTTGGGGAAAGTTGGGAATAAGGGTTGGGATGTTAAGAATCTTGACGAAGTCAAGAAGGATGTCGAGGATTAGCTTCCTGTCTGGAGGACCTCGGTTGGGGGTAACCCAGTCTTCGTAGTTTTGTGGTGCGAGTTCGGCGACAAGTCTTGAGGTGGTTCCTGTCGTTTTCTTGTCGCTTGACAGTCCCAGATAAGGTGCATGCAAGTAGCCGGTACATGGCATAATGTGCAGTTAGGGTCAGGGCCCGGGTCGTCTTCTGATGTTGGTTTGTAAAAACGCTTTCGTAGAACTGGTGTAATGGCCGTGTTGGTAGCGAGGCGCCGAAGGCCCACCCGCTCCCACCGTGAGTATTTTGATGGGAGCGGGTGTTCCTCCGTTGGCAGTAGAGCAGTCAGCCTCGCTTTCCGCTCTTGTCTTGCGAGTGTCTTTATTTCATCGGGATCGGGGTCCTCGGTGGGTATTGCGGCGGAGGAGTCCGGGAGGCCTTTGAGAAGTCAAATTCAGAAGTCAAACTTCAAATGTTATGCCGTTCTCCCCCCCCTCCCCCCCCCCCCCCCAAAAAAAAAAAAGGAAAAAAATTGTGGCAGTTTATTTTATCTAATATTCGCTGCCATTTCTGAAAATAATTCCGATGCACCCCAATCACCCCTAAAATAATGCGTACCAGAAGATTAAAAAGAGTTATAGGGGCATGAAAGGGCATTACTTTGAAAGTGAAATTTATAGCACTTTACTTCATTGCGCCCGGTGTACTTACTACTTTACTTGAGCCTAACCTCATTTATGTTGAACTTTACCTCAAGTATGTTTTAGACGTACTTTATCCAACAATGAAATGTGTACACCCATTTGCGTGCTTAGAGGGGGCTTCAACGATTTGAACTCATCATTACACCTTCACCCAGTTGTGTACTTTGTGTGATACACCCTTCAGCATATTCAAGGAGTAAGGTGCAGTGCAAAGAAGTGGCAACATAAAAAAAGTGAAAGCCGTTTACAACTCCCTGTAACACCGAATTGGAGCGCAGCTCTTGAGGAGGAGGAGGGAAGGGTACCGGGGGGTGAAGTGACCTGGGGGGGGGGGGTCACGTGACGATGCCGATGATGTCATCAGTGACGTCACTGATGACGTCATCCGTGATGATGACGATGCGGATGCCGGTGACGTCATCAGTGACGTCACTGATGACGTCATCAGTGATGATGACGATGCGGATGCCGGTGAGGTCATCAGTGACGTCACTGATGACGTCATCAGTGATGATGACGATGCGGACTCCGATGACGTCATCAGTGATGATGACGATGCGGATACCGGTGAAGTCATCAGTGACGTCACTGATGACGTCATCAGTGATGACGATGCGGATGCCGGTGACGTCATCAGTGACGATGACGTCATGGGGAGGTCACGTGACCTCGGCGGGGGGGTCACGTGACCCTGGGGGTGGTCACGTGACCTCTGGGGGTCACGTGACCTTGGGGCCATGTGACCTTGGGGGATCGCGTGACCTTGGGGTGACCTTGGTAACGGCGACGCCGCTCAAGCCGGGAACGGGCCCCTAAGAGCTGCGCTCTAAGATATGGCTGTATCGTTTCCCTTGTACCAATGGTTTTTACAAGATTTGTGGGTCTTCAATACATTGGCAAGAAGAGAAGGCAACATTTGCAACCTCGTTAGATGCTGTGGCGATCCCCGGCAAAGTGCTTGCCTGTCAAATGTGGGGTATACCTCAAGTGAAGGGGCACTCAACAAAGTCATGATTCCGACGGCGTTTACACGTCAAAACCATCTAGTGCATGTTGCATGTAACCTACACACGTACAAACTATCGGGTTTGAATGAAATGCGAAAACGAGCGCATGGCCATCGACACATGCTGCGCCTTCTGGAGGCCTCTGGAAACTGATAAAACTACGGGGTGGACACTGGAGAGTAGCGCGCTGGGTGTGCGTCAAACTCCGATGTGTTTGAACCTCGCCCAGCACAACCCATGCATGCTTCGACGCTGTGCTGGTAGTGCGCCACAAGTTCCGTCACTGTTCGCATTTCATTCGAACCCTATAGGACACACTGAGTGCCGTATAAGAAAGTCGCGACATACCTCTGAAATAGATTTTTGGTTTTCAGCGTGCTGCCTCTGCTAGAAGTGTTTTAGGGTGTTAGCCCTGGGACAAGCCTTAAAGCTCTCGACTGACGCGCAAGCAACAGTTTCAGCCTGGCAGAGAAGCCTTCCCCAATGTCCTCTCCCTTCCTTCCGGCACTCACCCCTCTGTTGAAACCAGTGTGTACAGGAGTTACTCCCCACAGAGGAGGTTTCCTCCTTTGTGCTTGCACGGGGGCCTTTAAAAAGTGTAGATAGCTTGACTTTCTATGTACAACTGGATGAACACAAACAGATATTCCACACCAAAGTAAATTCACACAAATCTGACAAGCTTTCAAACGTTCCGCCTTTATTTTCCGCCTAAAAACAGAGCATCTCAAATCAAACTACATCTCTACATTCCACGAGCCGTGTAGAGTTGTCATCAATCAAGCTCTCTGAAGTAGGACTTGAGTATTAACTTCACATTTTAAATATTTCACATAAAAAACAAAACAAAAAATACACGTGTTCACAGCCGCAAAATATACGGGTTTTAAAACATTTGGCAGCATGGCACGCACACTTCGATGGTCTCTTAGGTCGGGCTCAACGATTTAAAATGGCCACCAGGATTATGGCTGCTTAAAAGGGCGTCCAGTTTCGGATGAAAACAGGGGTGTCCCTCCCAGCAATAGGCGTGACAAGTTGTAGGTCGTCCTGAATGGCTACTGTGCGCAGCCAATGGCAGAACGGTGTCGAGGAAATGTCCACAGCGAAGACAGCGCTGTCCTCCACTCAGCAGCACATCTTGCGGGGCACAGACTGCGCTACGGGCACTACTCCTCCATCCAGTGCCACAGCCCCGGAGGTGGAGTCGTCCATATTCACGGCCTTCTGAGTACGAAGTATCTGAATCAAGGACATTAACAGAGACAGTTGGTTTTGTTTTCGGAAATAAACTCGTATTGAGAGATCTATATATAAAAAAAGAAAATACTTGAGACCATGGAAAACAAGTTAGAGACGCCTTCAGTGCTAAAGACGGCACACGTATGAGGACCATTTACGCCGAATTAGTGGGAGACAGTATCTGTTACATGGTTGCCGCGCGATTTGCACCATTGCGCTTACCCTAACGTCCTGCTTTATTTCACCGATTCTATCCTTGTATGAAACACTGAATGTACTAAAAAGTTTCCCATCATCGCTCTTCGTAACCTGCGCGGGCTGTTTTGCTGTTAGCTCCGCTGTGCGCGCTTTTCTCCGCGCACCGATGAACTGCGGAGAAGCTGCACTCAAAGAGTAAACATCTCGATTTGACGCATCTCGCTTTGCCGCAGCGCGACCGCATACTGAGGGAGAGCGACACTCCAGAACATGTTGATACACGCGTCGGGCATTCGTGAAGAAATAACAAAACTTGGTTAATTTTGACTTAACTTGCAAGAAAAAATTATTAAAAAAAGGCTTGAGGTGCATTTAGGCACTTCTTATGAGTTGTGAATGCGAAAGCATGCAAGCCGCTCGTCCGCTCCCTTATTTCGTCTGCTACGTACCTTTCGTCGCCGGTCAGCGCGCGCGCGCTCTCGTCTGCGCGCTGACCTTACACGCTCCGTGTTAACGGCGCGCTGACGGATACGCAGCGCCATGGGGTGAGCGGTCGTTGAAACTGACGGGCAGCGGCCATTGGTAGCCTTGTCGGCGCACGCCTGCCAATGGGACCGAACCTGAAATCTATCAGCTTTACATCGCTCCTTTGGGATCGGGGAAACTAGGTGCCGTTGTCTAGGCTTTTCGCGTGGTTTCATAGCTGGGAGCCGGCTTCACTTGGAGAAAGGATTCGAGGTGCCGTTTGGCGCGGCTTGCTCCATAGGACAGTCAATACTTTAGCATTGAAATGGGGGGCTAGTACATTTATATTATGGATAGCGATCCTGACAAATCACGGGCATAATTGTTCCCACTTTTCTTGTTTTGTTTTTATATAAGTTTGGGGTTTAGGGACGGACTTAGGAAACAGCGAAATGATTTATAAACAATATTGATGGAGCGTCGCTGGGTTGCATTACAGCTGCAGTTTTTATGTCGAATTCCTGGATTATCTGCCACTTTCAGAACTCCAGTGGTTCGAGGGTACATTCAACAAACTTTAAATTAAAGCTCTGCTAAAAAGCAACTGTGCGGTGATGCAGTCAACAGTACGGGAGTATTGATTAAAGCTGTGCGCACTTGTCCTCTCTTCGGAAATGCCACGCAAAGTTTTTTTCTGAGATAAGAAGGGGCTCAGCGTGCTACGAATGGAAGCTCGTGAATAAACTTGCCGAGTTCAGCAGGATGTTTTAGGAAAGAAAAGATCGTCTACACACCGAGTTTGCATGCACATATAACTACACGTGTATAAGGCCATCGATATGCATAATTAGGAGATATCGTTCGCTTTTAACTTAATGAAAAGTTGCATGGTCTTCTTGCAATCTCCAGCATTTAAAGAAAGCATCCAATTTTGTGGTCAGAATTGTTCTGTTTTACATTTGTTTTCAGTGGAATACTATTGGTTCACTCATGGTTCTACATTTCAAAGACCATTCGCAAAAGTTCATGCTATAATATTAAAAGCGCTAACACTAGACGAGGACAATAGGGAAGACAAACAGGACGAGCGCTCGTCCTTTTCGCCACATTGACTTTGTCTGTTAGCGCCTCTAGTCATAAACCACCTCGCCTGCTTCACCACTTTAGTTCATGCTTTGTTTTCATCAATCAGCAACTACTACATTTGACAACTACTTCAATCAGCAACTTCTTCGATCGCAAAAAAAACAAAAAAAACATTAACTCTCCCATGGAGCGCAGCCGGCGTTGTCTGTGCCCGCGAAAAACGAGCAACTAAATCACGGCAGTTAAAATGGCCACGACGCGTCATAGTTCCAAGGAACGCCACCCCACAAAGAAGCTCTCTCTCCTCTGGCGCTGCGGCCCGTGTGCAGGTAAAAGGGAGAGGGTGGCGCTCGCGCGGCCGCCGCGTCAGGCGTGGCCGGACGAGAGGGAGCGGGATGTTCCCGCTCCGTCTGCTAGGCCTAATGAAGCACTGTCTGCCAGTGGCGCGCTGCGGTTTTTTCTGCTCCTAAGGCGCCGAGGAACATCGCGGCGCCTGAGGCATCTATAGACGCTTTGCGGCAGCTGTGCATGGGCGCCGCCATAAATAACCTTCAGTTTCTTCCTCTTATTCCGTTTATTTCACTTCATCATTACCATAGCAGGCCAGGTTATTGCCACATTAGATTCAATTGTGTCCTTTTCTAAAGCATCGGCCTTTGTAAAGGATCGTCAACTACCGTTTCAGTTGCTTGGCATCTCGGTAAGACAAGAGAAGGTCAGCAATGGCGGCTGTAATTTGGCGCGTCTATATCATCGGCGGCCGCAATCTCGGCAATAGCGAAACGCGATCGCGTCCACGCCAGCACTCAACGGCGTTCAATTGGACATTAATACTTTCGCATTCACAACTCATAAATGCTTAGGTAACTTCAGCATTTGTTTTTAGCGTGTTTGGTGCTTTTTGCCGAGATTAAATAGGCGTTAGATCTTATCAATCAGCTGTTATGAATGCTAACGAGTTAGGATTGAGGGAGGGCAATGAGGTTTGTTTCTTCGTTGGCTGCAGGCCAACACATGAACCTCAGCATGGGGTTCACCGAAAAATGAGTGAAAATGAATCGGATGTTCGTGTTCGAGAAGTTAGTTTGTTATTTTTTTTCTGCATATTTCGAGCTTCGAATCAACTGAGCAGTCACATTACTGCGATACTAACAGTGTGAAGTTTGCACGCAGCAATCCTAGTGTATGGTGGGAGTCCGATTCGCCGCACCATAGGTCCGTTGTACAGCAAATCGGCATCCAACTTAGAGGCCGACACCGTACTTATCAGTTATGTTATCATGTTATTCGCGACTCGTTCTCTGGCGTTCTTATCGGCTCATATGCCGCAACCTCGTTGGCTGCGGAACGTTAATAAGCTATTCTGGATTCGACACGCACTGCGTTTCTTAACACTGTCGGGGGAGATAAGGTGACGAAAATAATCCCTGGAGAAGGGGAACAAAAGGAACAAAGGACAAACACAAATCTCCAAACACAGCTAGGTGACTGGTGCGCGACCGAAAAAATCCCCCTGGTCCGGGTATCAAACCCGGGACCTCTCGATTACAGGTAGCGGGTACGCTTACTTGACTAATGAGGAACCGCGCAGCTTCGTCGATGTTCAGGTTTTCTTTCGCGGACGTGAGGAACCAGCCCGCGAAGTTGTTTTCCTTGCAAAACTCGTTCATTGCACTGGAACTGTTGACTATGCCTTCCTTGGACATGTCACACTGCAACGCGGGACTCTGAATCAGGAGCCGGTCAAAGCTCTCTTGCAGGAATGGGGCACAGAAAGTAAGGGCGTGCGAACGCTGCTTCGAATCGAAAGGCGCAGCCTTCATCTCTATTGCCGCAGCACTGCAAAGAGAGCCGGCACGTCGCGGGTTTCTCTAGCACTGGGAAGGCTATGAGCGATGCTGCGCTATTCGCTTCGAAGCAGTATTCACAGCGCAGCCCTAACAGAAAGGTTCGACTACTTCGAGTTGGTCTAAGGTATGCGCCGCATACCTTAGAGAATTGCATAGTCACACAGTTTTCTTGATTGCGCAACATATTAAACAGATTTTTAGATGGCAAATACAAGAAAAATTTAAATCTGATTTATATACCTGGTCCAACCAGGGTCGTGGCGAGGCACGACATAATGCCAATGAAATATATTGACACAAATAAGATGTCATGATGATTCGAGACATTAAACAACGTTCACAGCCGATATGAAATGCCAATGAAACCGCATTCTGGCACCACGTTCCGGCAAATTTCGTGTTATATGTACGATTCCGGAGAAGGAACGTATACCTTATTGCCTAGGAGCACACAGGGAATGCTGTTGCCCTCCGGCTGCTGAACCTTGCTGTCCAGATCCATCTTCCACTTTTTGACAGCTTCGAAAGTCTGAGATCTCGTGACGTCGAACACAATAAAGGCGCCGACTGCTTCCTTATAGTAGACCCTGGTCATGTTGCCGAACCTCTCTTGCCCTGGGGTCGAAGCAAACCGAAATGGACGGCAGTAAGTTTGGGGCGAACCAACTGCCCCTCCGCTGCACTTGCCCATTCACGTAACCAATTAACATCGGTTGGCAATGCACATGGTCAACAAAAACGTGCCTTGTCAACAACAACCCAAGAAACACGAGTCGTAACCCATCATGATCCCGCCTCCTGCTTCCCGATTCGACGGTTTTTTTGTAGCTAATTATCCAGTCACATTTACTGCGGAGCGGTAATGAGATGCATGGTACCCGACCCGCACTCCGTTCTTAAACTGTCCGCTACTGTCGAACATAAAAAGGGAATTTTGATTACTCGTTCACGAACCTCACCCTGAGTCATGACATGAAATTCCGTGAATTAATTTCTCTAGTGCTCGTGCGCAGAGGGGGACACAGTACGTTCGGAATATTTGGGAGAGAAGTAGCTCTGGTCGTACTTCGCTACACATAGCTTGCACATGACTTCATTCAAAGAGCGCTCCGATAACCACCAAAGAAGAGGGAGCTCCCCTCTTATCGGGATCCTCTTTTGTGCCTCCCGGATTTGCACAGGCGTCGCTACTTTCCTCACAGAAGAATATAGAAGATTAACCCGTCACTCAAAATTCTTACAAAAGCAGCTTCACTCTTCTCCTCTTACATGGTGGTCAAAAGGTGACGTCAGTGCAACCGATATATTGTTTGGCGATCACTGCCTTCTCCAGTTTCGTGTTTCCTGCCGCGGCAGTTTGTACAGATTCATACGCTTCTAAAGAAATAAGTATCAATGAAACGACACATCTCGCTGAACACAGCTGTGTGTTCAGGCTCCTAGACGAAGCTGCCTGACCGTAAGTTGAACGGAGTCTGCGAAGCAGCGTGGGCGTTAGCCTTTATTTACAATACACTTTTCTCCATTCAACTTTACTCTATTGCAACAACAACAACAAAATAATTGTAACACGCTGCCGCAGCTCACAACAACTGCTTCCTTCTTTTTTATGTCTGTGACGAACTTTTTTGCTAGGTAGTGTTGAGTGGGAGCGTGTTGTACTGCTCAACTTACCGGCAATGTCCCATAGTTGAAGCCTGATAAGAGTGTTTTCATCCCAGTTGATGACCTTCAGGGCAAAGTCAACACCGATCTGTGTAGCTGGATGTAAGAAACATTCACTGTAAAAATAAACAAAAATAAATAAATAAATAAATAAATAAACAGCCAGGAGGGTTTGTGGTCCGAAGTTCAAATCGCAACGAAGTGTGACGTGCCATAACTATATTAGCGGTTAATTTTGTTATTATTATTATTAAATATTCGAATAAAAAATTTTGAACTAATGCATTAGTAGAAAATGATTACTCCACCTACGTTAATGTCCTGGCCGTGATGGACCCAAGTAATTGTCATTTTATTCAAACTGCGTGGAAGACGGTCACTTCTGCAATTTGGGTTTGACGATTTAGGTAGATTAGGGCATATGATACATCAGTAGCGCCTGAACAGGAAAGCGTGGGGACCGGGGGGATAAGTAATTGTTTCTCCCAATCATTTGAAAGATTCATCATCCATCCCTCTCTTTTTGTGCCCTACCCCCCCCCCCCCCCCCCCTTTCCAAAAAAAAAAGAAATCGTTTAAACATTTTTATATCCCTGGCGTATATTATAGTTTATAAATTAATAAAAAGAAACTAATTTTGGTCAGGATACGGTGGCCCTGTAGTGGTGCGAGAAGAATTGATGGACGTAGCGTTTGATGATGCTTGTCTTGCCCGTTCCCAGGTCTCCGATGACGAGGATCTTGTACAAGTGCTCTCTCTGCTGTTCTCGCATCATGTCATCCTGGAGAGAACAGGCGCTGTTCTTAGTTTTGGGGATCAGTGGCCGAGCGCTTTAACAAACCGCAGCTCAGAGAGGACAAGATCACGCTGCAGAGTCCAGGGATCCCGGGTTCAAACCCCATTCCTGCCGTTTTCAATCTGGATGAGTATACCATGCCGGCGTGAGGTCGTGTATCACTACTGCGTGATGCATGTTGACCCCAGGCTAACAATCATACTGCACTGTCAAAATTTATCTACAGTGTCGAGGCGACAGGCACCTGCTGACTAACTCCCCGCTGTCTAGTCATACACACAGCACATTTGCAAATCTCAGTTCTCAAACAACTGCATGGAGTACACCGGGCGTTATTTGTGTGAGGATGCACCAAAATAAAGGGACCACCGAAATCATTTTCTTACTTTCGCATAACACTGCACAGAATGAACCGTTGACGCTCATAACCTACAAAACGTGCACTAATGTTGGTTTTCTTTTTGGTCTTTTTTTACGCTACAGAGCATACACAGAACAAGACTGGAGAAAAACGAGCAGCGTTCATCCCGTTATTTCGCAGTCTGAAAAAGCGGCCACGTTAGGCATAATTGCTGGAGTTGAAAATAAGTGAGCCCCAACCCAAACGTCCGCCAAGGAATTGATTTGCATAGCTTATACAAAGTACAGGGTGTACTTTAAATCAAATAAAATCCACCCGATCAAACAAATCCACCCCCCCGCCTCTCAAAGAAAAATAAATATATATATGCATTGTTGAACGTTGATTCTCCACCTAAACGTCCGCTAGAGTTCCGAACCTGCAGATGCCAAAGTTTCAGCACAAACCGTTATCTTATACTAAAGTTATAATTGATTTTCTAAAATTCTCAATGGAAAAATGGCGGCCGATCGAGATCGAGCCATAACGCCAGTTACCGAAGACGGGCAAAACTGGATTCATATTTTCATTGAAATTTTCAGAAAATCATTTATAACTTCTGAATAAGATAACGTTTAGAGTGCTTAAATTTTGGCATCTGGATCGGACCTCTAGCGCTACCTTTTGGCGGAGAATGAGCGTTCGGCGACGCGTGGTTTATTTTTGCTGTGTAAAAAACCTCGTGAATTGTTTTGGGGGACACCTTGTATAGACATTTTCCACAGGGGCGCCGCCATCTTGAATTGTCGTCACTTCCAGTATGGGCGACGAAAAAAAAGTAAAACGTTTCAACCTGTAACCAGTAAAAAAATAGAGTGGAGCCAAAACGATACTGTGTGACGGTTAGGCTTATATCCTAAATGTCTTCTATTGGCGTGGTGAGGGCAAAGTAATGTTTTCGCCCATACTGGAAGTGACGACAATTCAAGATGGCGGCACCCTTGTGGAAAAGGTCTATAGCGCTCCCACATTGGTTTACGGGCTGCCATATTTGTGCACCGTATACGGCTCATCGTTTCCTACAAGCTCATGGTGGAGACGGTGAAGACATCGCTTTTTTGCACGGAGTACCACGAACACGTGCCGCCCGCAACCGGTATCAACATATAAAGGTGCATGGTACAGAGAAAAGGTACGCCCGCGATTACCCCGGAAAGCGGCATCGCGAACTTACTTCGGTGGCGGACGCCTCTATCGCGTTGGAAGTCATTGGACGAGAAGAAAATCCAGCGTGTGTCACTTCGCTGCTCCCTTCAAGTTGGTCAAGCTGAACTGAGACGTACCTTTTGGGAACAGAGCGATAGGGTATCGGCGAGACACTCGCCCCGAGATAGGCGCATGGAGGAGCCCGTGCTTCTCAAGAGGAGCTCGCTTCTCGCTCCCGTCGGTGTACGGAGGTGAATTTGAAAAGTAAAGACCGTTCCGCTTGTGTTCGATTCACGCTCGATGAGTATATATGTACAGCGTGTTACCGAACACTGATTTTTTTTTTTTTTTTTTATTGCAAAAATGAATTATGCGTTTCGGACCGCTCAGTCCTTGCCGAAATGTGGAGCTAGCATCCGGACCAGATGTCGAGGTTTCTGCACTAACCGTTATTTTATTCAAAAGTTGCATAGAAGTGATGTTCTCAAAATTCAATTGGAAAAGTGAAGCCCGTTCTCGGTAATTGACTCCATCAATTCCCCGTCCCATGAATTCGGGTCTTCTTCGGTCACTATTTTCCCATTGAAAATCGCTTATAACTCTCAGATAAGGGAACGGCTATTTCTGAACCCTTGGCATCTGGTCCAAAGTCTCAGTTTCCGCCCAAGCGTAGCACCAGCTACGTTTGGCCGCAATCTGAGTGTTCAACTTTTATAACTTAATCTCGTTAAAAAAGTTTTTATTTTAGGGGGGGGGGGGGGCGCTTTGTAGTTTAGTTACATTTAGTTATGGTTCGCACACTCAAGAAAAGTTGTTCTGCTTTATGGGTTCCCAATGTGTAGTCTTGTCTTTTGGAGGGCGAAATCACTCGTTCAGGTAGATTGGGTTCACGACTGATACACGAAGCCACTTCGTCGATTGTTTCTCCTTCAGGAAAAACAAAACAAAAAAGAAAAAAAAAACAGTTCCGGTCTTCAATTTGGCCCTGACTTGGGCCAGCCGCTTGTAATAATCTAGTTTGACTTTAATGACCACCGACAGTGCCGTATGTTCCAAGAATTTCCGGAGACGGAAAAGAACGGGGATGTAGGTTTGCTCAGCTTAGCGTAAAAAAAAGGTTAGGGGGTATCCACCGGTCGCCATATTTGAGTGCGACGCTCAAAACGAGCGGGTAGTTAATAGACAAGTTGCTAAGACCAGCAGTCTTGGTGGACCGAAGTTCACGTAGCAAATGAGCAGTGGACTCTCAGTCGTGGCCGCCAGTGAGCACCTCCCATGCAACAGGACGAGGATGGCGGAACGTCTCTTTTGAACAACCGGCCTCCATCACGCGCTCGTTGCCTTTGCGTCGTACCATTGCCTCCTACATACTGACAAAGCCTGGCAGATCGCCACTAGAAGCGGCCGCCGAAATGAAAAAGGTGGAGCGGCAGACAACGGACGAGAGGGGAGCCACGTGACTGGCGCCCCGCTGCGGCGAGACGCCGAAACACACCTCTCCTGAGCGAGCAAGTGTGTTTTTGGTCCTCGCCGCTGAAAAAAGTCTGCGCTGACATCCAGGTTCCCCGAGAAATGACTCTTTGACGCTCTGTGCTACCATATCCTCGCGCTCCAAATCTCCGACCGGGCACTCTACGACTCCGTCGTCGAACTGCCAGGCTTTGTGTCAAGAGACACCAAAGCGCTGTCGAATGTAGGAAGCTCGCACTAGAGGCGGGGCAACTGGAAGACCTTCCTGCCGTTCTCATACTGTCAGGATCTATAAAATGCAGGGGTTAAAGAGCGTTCTGTAGGAACTCTTCGCCTGGCCTTGTTTATATGTTTTCCGTAGCCTTTATATGCTATAGTTGGTGACAGGTTAAGGATCCAGTAAGTTGGGGCTTTTTAAACTTTGATGCCCAGCGACCCGCCAAGAAAAAAAAAAAAAAAAAAACAGTCGCGTCGCAATAACGTGTTATAGTTTTAATGTGTTTTTACACATTTGTTCATAAAAAAAAGCCGCCAAAGCTAGATTACTTAGGTTTGTGCAGGTGAGTTATACGGCCAGGAGGGCACGGTATAGCAGCATAATCGTCACAATGAGTTGGTTTGACGAAGATCTGTGCGTCAACATTTTAATTCGTGAAAATGAAACACGTGGCTTTAATTTAAAACTTGCTAGCGCCATCGGAAGCCACTAAATAGTCAAATTTTAGAAGGATTTCTAAAATTTGACGCAAAAGGTAGCACTAGTGCAACGGGCGCAATGATGGCGGCGAGGAAACGCGGATGACAAGAGGCGATAGCACCGCGCGGGTACGTTTTCGCACCCCTAGCCTGTTGCACGACTGATATTTGGTGATTTTCGATGGCGCTGAGCAAGTTTCTCACGGGAACCATAGCTTCATCTTCAACAATTCAAAAAGTGAATTAGCAAATTTTAGTTACTTAACAGACTTACCGTGGCGATTATGCCGCCGTGTAACTTACCTACACAGACCGTTTTAGTGTAGCTTTCACGGCTTTAAAACAAATCAGTAAAGCCTTAAAAAACACCCTGCATACAGATTAACGTGAGAAGCGTTATTTTCCACAATTATCTATGCGTATAATCTAATACGGGGGTCGGCAATCCGCGGCCTGTGAGGAAATATTTTGCGGCCGCCGGCACGCTACCAAAAAAGAATCCCCCCCCCCCCCCCCCAACGCACACACACACGCACACACTCCAGGACCACTGGTTCAAAAAGAATAACTGGTGGCAAATGTGGTGTAATGGAATCTATTAATTTCCAAATGGCACGACTGGGGATTAGTTCATTCTTCAGGTTCATCTATCGGCAATTGCTGTGGATCAAAGTGATGCGTTGGGAATTTAAGGTATGTGGTACCTAGAATAAATGTCGTCCGGAATAACGACTTGGACCATGCATCGTTCATTTTAAGAATTTTGTAGCGCATAGAAGCTTATTCTAGGGCTGTCCAGTACAGCAAGAGTTTTGCATTTTTTTCTTGTTTTTTTTTTTTAGCTTTGTAAAAACATCCTCGCAGGGCCTTCCTCATTCTGACTGGGTGGCGACTTGGCATTGCTGTTGGCTGATATCTCATACCAACCTAATGACCCGACTAGTATTACAAAGGAAAGAGAAACCCGTGGTGGTATGCTCTTAGACGCAAACGTTTTCGAGCTGAAGCTCGGGGTCTCCCAACACCAGGAATCTCTATCAACAAAGAATGTATATAATTTTTCTTTGTGGGGAGTTTTTATAGGAGGAAAGAACACAGTGTTCTATAAAGAAAGTATATGCATGATATCAATCATATTACGCAATCTGAACTGCAAAGTCGGAGTTGGATTCCCTGATTTTGCGAAATACTCAAGCATTCAATTGTTTTCTTTATATTTTGCTTAAGACAGACATTGACCAAGTTCAGGAGGCTTACGAGACAAAATTCGCTG